TCGAAGCGTAGCGTCTATAGAGGCTCGTCCGCGAGTAGTAGCATGCGTAATACTCGAAGTGGAATGTCTCGTCAGAGGGGGACTCCGTCTGATGTTAGCTCGATCATGAGCAATCTTTCGGTTGCTGAGAGCATTATATCGAAGGCTACTGCACGTAAGGAGCGCGTAATTGGCACCGCCAATTACAGATAAATTTATTTTTACAAAGAAACCTGATTTTATACGAGTGTATCATTGTTATTTGGTGATTCGAACGATTTAGATAGACCGCATGATGCGTCAAAATACAAATGCTATGTGCTTTGTTAAAATTATTGGGTTTCCCATGTGAATTTGATGTGTTATGATTCTTGCTGTTTGTTTGTTTGGCAAATAAGTTCTTGTGGCGATTTAAGGGATTGCAAATTCCTTAGGTAGTAATTGCTCGGTTGATTACTTAGTCAAATCATCAAATACAAGTTTCTTATGACTGAAGTACTGTTTGTACAAGTCTTTTTGAAGTCGGTGGGCATCTTCGTAGATCACCGATTGCTATTCTGCACTGCCACCAACGAAGATTAGGTGCTGATAGTCTTGAGACAATATGAAGACTCGTTCTGCAGCACTGTGAGACCACAGGCATTTGTTGTCTAAGAAGGAGTCTCCGAAAAAATAACCTTATTGGACCAATTCTCATCTAACAATTATATTCAATATTAGGTATAGAAGCTGAAAAATTTTGAAGTCCACAAATTTACTACTGCATCTCAATATTTCAGTATTATAATTAGGCGACAAATATCTCATTATCATTTTGTGACGCTTCTTCGTAGCCTGCTAAAATTTGTACGAACTCTCGTGTAATTTGCTATCAAGGACGCAGTATACTTTCATTTAAACTTTAGCGGAGAATACACACATTGAAGTGTCCTTGTAGCGTTGGGCCAGCTGGGACACAAGGCGAACAGGATACAATGATAGGTATGAGTAACTCCCGTCGGTGATAACACGAATGGGATTTGAAGCTCCCCTTTTGTAAAAGGGAACACCAAAAGCTGTAGCAAGATCGGATCTTTGCGTCTTAAACTCAATAATTCAATTTTCGCAAGTTCGTCTATAAGATCCAGACACTGTATGCGTGAGTGCAACTTTAATCCCTGGCGAGCACGTCGGTTCATTTCACATCGTAAACGGCTTCATTTAGTTCGCGGAGTAGTGTTGGTGGACTGGGAGACTAATATTGTAGTTTTGTGCTTTGTATGGTACGTCTAGTTCAGAAATTTAATGTTTTACTCAACAAAAGCTTAGTATAATTGCACACCGGTATTTGCATCAAAATTGAGCTTGGTACAAATCACCACTTCTGATGCTCATAATTGAAGTAAGTTAAAATCGCTAAGGTCTATCATTTGTTTAATTGGTAAAAGTCACGACATGTAATTCTATTTTGCTAACTCACGCAAGCGTACTAGAAAAGGCCATCTCCGCACGTCCTCCCCA